AGGTGCTAGGATTAAAGGCGGGCACCACCACATACAATCTTAAAAGCTTCCTTTCTTCTTTCTCTATTTTAGACTATTAATTCCTCCTCTCTCTAGAATTCCTTAACACATAAACCCAGAGGTGCTATTTTGTAAGCAGGACATTTAACCCCATCGCACTGAGGCTCTCCTACCTGGGTTCTCTATTCTTGCTGTATTAGTCTGGGGGGCTTTCCCTTACATGTCTGGCTTCATCATAACTCTGTGAGTTTCAACAGAAAAACAGTGCCTTGCCACTTCCTTTATCCTTATCCATGCAGTCTTCTGTCCTCTGACTCTAAATTGTGCAGCAGGGTACGGAACGGCTGACTTTCACAGCCCCCTCTAACGGACAGCCAGAGAGGAGTTCACAATCTGGAAGGCCACAGAGAAGGAAACAGAAAGCCAGAGAGACAAATCACAATGTCGGCAATGTCAAAGCTCGCATTAGAACAGAGGGCTCCTCCAAGGCCAGGGAAAACATGGAAGCCAGCTGAGCCTCTTTCTATATAAGCCATGGCCACGGTTGCAAAATGTGCTTCCAATAACACAGGGCTGGAGTCCTTGAATACTTCAGAACACACAGATCTGCTCACACACACAGGTTCGACTCCAAGCTCATTTCATTTTTATAGTACTCAATTTAACTTGGCACCCAAATCTGAACTAGGTAAAAGAAAGTACCACAAAACAACAATGCCTATAGTGGTTCTGCATGGAAGGAGATTACAGTTTATGCTGCAGAATGAGCACTGGGGATTACAGTATAATATATGGAATAGCATAGTAAATATATCACTAAAACATAATGGTGGAGACGACAAGGAATGAGTGCTCTGCCCTCTGAAAGGGGGAGCACTCAGGAGTTGAGTGCATAAGACAGGCAGCAGCACAGACTTCTACCTCGGAGGTGCGGGAGCACTCTGCTTGCTCCTTCTATCTCCATAAAGCAAATGTTGCCCTCTACCCATCTAAAAGGATTCTGGGAAGTCGGGGCAGGTACAAATAAGATATATTGATACATGACATGTAATTAATCCCTGAGTTCAATTGCAGCACTGCACTCGACACATTGGCAAGTGCCAATTATCTGGGTGCTTGGGAAGTAAAGGCAGAAAGATCACAAGTTCAAGGTCATCTTTGGCTACATCCTAAGTTCAGGAAACTCTGGTCTGTGAGAATTCATCTCAAGACAAAAGTAAAAACAATTACAAATAAATAAACAAATCCAAAAAACAAAAGCAGCAGTGTAATGCACAGACTTAAAGGAGAGCTCCTGGCACCAGAACCTCAAGTGAAGTAGAAACTCATTACTGTTTCCTGTAAGACCCATAATATTCTAGCATGGAAGACAAGCGGCTTTGCTTCATAACCTGGAGAAGGTGTAATGTCATTATCTGCATTATGTAGTATTCAAGGGAAACAAGACTGGAGTCAATATTATTTCTCAATGTCACAGGCTTAAAAGGACCAATTCTGAGTTTTTCAGTTTCCACCTCCCTCTTTGGTAAAATTGGTATAGTCCCAAGGTTCCACGAAATATTTTTAAATACACGAAACACAAGCTTTCCCACTCTTTGTTGACTAGATGTTCACATCTCAACATAAAATGCCCCCATGTAGGTTTCCATGCATGACTTCTATAGGTACACATTTATTGTTTTGTTATTTGTGCTTAGTATTTGTCATAGAAAGCAAGCAGACATCACTTTTAAAAATGAGCAGTAAGGGGCTAGAGAGATGGCTCAGCAGTCAAGAGCACTGGCTGCTCTTCCAGAGGACCCAAGTTCAATTCCCAGCAACCACATGGTGGCTCACAACCATCTGTAATGAGATCTGGCGACCTCTTCTGGCCTGCAGGCATACACACAGGCTGAAGACTGTTTATACATCATAAATAAGTTAAAAAAAAAAAAGTGCAGTGAGTAAATGGATTGGGGAAGATCAGTACTGAAATTAAATTAAGCTGATAGAGGGGATGATGATGTTTTACAAAGGCCCTCAAAACAGTGACATGCAATGAGGCAACTCCACCCAGGGTAGGGAGTTGCTGGGCTCTCATGTTTTAACAGGAGGAGGCATTAGGCACACAGAGAGAGTACCACATCAGTCCAGCACAGGAAAAATGCTTCATACCAGTGTCACAACTAGAAGTGACAGAGCACACATAGAACCAAGGCTCCACAGTCTGGGCCTTGGCTCTGTTCAGGCTCCACAGTCCGCGTTCTAGGATGGTACTATGTAGTTCCTGCAATTTTCCAGTGGGAGCTTGAACTTGCCTGTGAAAAGGAATTCAAGGACTCCTGGCCCCGTCAGTCTCAGAACAGACCTCTGGCCTCCAGAAAGCCCAGCCAAGTAGGCCTGGTGAGCTACAATGAGAGAGCCACTTAGAGTTCCTTTAAAACATGAATATTCTGCTTTGAGCACTGCAACTGAAGGGTGAGCAGTCTCAGATGAAAAGCACCACATCAATGTTGGAAAGGGCTGTATGTCTGGATGGAGAACAAAAATACACAAGACCTTAGAAACTAAACAAGATGCTGAGGCTGTTATGAGCAGTTCTGTTCCAAGAGCTGTACCCACACAGAACATGGAAAATCCAAATTAGTAGGAACTTCTAAGATTCATGCTGACTCTTTAAAAGTCCCTTTATTTTATATGTAGGAGTGTTTTACGGACATGCATGTATGTGCATCACGTGCATGCCTGGCACCTGGGGATGTCAGAAGAGGGCGCTGCATTCCCTGGCACTGGAATTATAGGCAGTTATGAGCCATCACATGAATTCTGGGAGCCAGACCTGGGTCTGCTTCAATAACAAGTGTTCTTGACTGCTGACCCATCTCCCCAGGCTCTCAGGTAGATTCTTAAATATACAAGGTGGGCTGCAGCTCAGTGGTAGATGCTTACAAAGCATGAGCAAGGCCCTGAGTTTGGTCCCCAACACTGTAAGACCAACCAAACTAACCCAACCATGTTCTAACCTGGTGCCACATCCTTGAACAGTTTGGGTTCTGGAACCCTAACTTGGTGCAATGAGGGAATGAGGAAAGGACAGACAGACACACAAACACTGAAAATCTGGGATCAGGTGGTCTAGACTCTGTAATTACACACTGGAAGCTCAGTGTGCTTACTATACATACTAAGTGTGTGTGTGTGTAAATATATATTTACACATATATATTTGCATATATATAACATATATATTTACATATGTATATATAATATATACTATATATAGCTGAACAGGAGGTGAGAGTGTTGCACACAGCTAGCTGAAGAAAGAGGCAGGGTTACTACATACAGATAAACAAGAAGGCAGGATTATTATATACAACTGAAAAAGGAGGCAGGTGTAGCTAATCTCCATAGCAGCAGTCTTCAGGCTATGAATTTGGGCTAAATGTGGGTGGTAGGGAGCAGCTGTGAACATTTTCTGCAGACACTATCAACATTCCCCACAAGGCTTTGTCATCTCTCTAAGTGTCCCAGAGAAAGGTTTTGCCATTCCCATGGGTCTGAGGTTCTGGGGTCACCGACAGGACCACATATATCAACAGCACATACTTAGTAAGGACTGCTCCCTGCAACCTGGTTTGAGAGTAATGTTTAAATCTTCTATACGAATGTCATCTTTGACTATATTTCCATACCACATATAAAGTCAGATGATACATAAACAGGTCCATTTGGAAGGGTATTTTCAATTCAGCAACTTCCTGTTCTAGGAGCCGCAGACTACAGATAGTTCAGCAAAGGCCTCTGCAAAGTGATACTCTCAACACAGACAATGAAATCCGTGGCATAGCTTGGTTTCTAATGGACACTGTGATTCTCTGCTTGTACCTCTCCCCCTTGTGATGACTTTCTGAAAACACTGCTTAGCTGCAACCTCCCTTGCAAATGTTCATGAAAGAGAATACTGTTAAGGCTCTTGAAAGTAAAATTTACCACCCAAATTTCTAAAATGAATCACCAAATGCTGGATGAGGCCGTTGGTAGCTGTGTATCAGGAAACAGAAAGCAGTCTGAGTGAGTCACCTCTGTGATCAGAGATAACACAGTCACAGCCTGGGCTTGGTGGCAAACAAATGGCACAGCAATCACATGTCAGAATCTTGTGTGTAATGGTTCCTCACATGGAAATGCGTAAGTCAGTTACGTGAAAGCAGGAAGCGGAGCCCAGGATGCCACACAAACAATAAACACACTCTCTCGAGTTTCATGTCTTACACTGCTTGTTCAAGTCCATTTTAGTTTTTCAGTGATACATTAACAGCCCCAACTAGTCAAGAAGTAAGAAGAAAGGCAAAACTGTTAATAATATGACAGCTAGAAAATACAAATGCTCTTTGGAGGCCGGCATGCTAAGGTGCTTAATCCAAAATAAAAAAAAAAAGTGATCAGAAGGTGACCTCGAAAGTGGTAACCGAGCCTTTGGTGATAGTTGCTCGATATGAGCTATAGTTGGTGTGTGTCCTCGTGCACACTATGCTTTGGGGTCTCTTTTAGGCACTCCAAGTTTGAAAGGGAAGGTAAGCGGGACCGTGGACTAAGTGGCATTGCCACGGACATGCCAGGTTCTGGATGCTTTGACTCCTCCAGAGTAAAGAGCCAGATGTTCTGATATTCTTTTAAACCACAGGACAGGGAATACAAGCTAGGATCAAGCCTACTCCATCATACATGTGTCGGCTGGCCCAATACAGTACAATGCAAACCATAGGCAGTGTTTTTAAAAGAGATATCACCTATCAACACCACACACTCATGAGCAGGGCTCCAAGGGAAACACTACCAACTCAGGAGGCTAATGGACTCCCACACCCACAGCATAAGCACCTTCCTCTTAGAGACCAGTCAGGAGCCATGGCAGAAAGCCTCACCTCGTGTCTTCCTAAGACAATGTGGTGATTATAATTCCCCAAACCAGAACAAGAGAAAGCATTTCCCTTAGGTTCCCTACACCACAACACTACCTGATAATGAAAGGAACGAAAGGTGCCAAGCTGAGTGCAGACGACGTGCCATCCATCGGAGATGGGTAGAGTCTCTCCAGCACCAAGAGCAAGAGGAACATGCTGGGGTGTCGATCAGGCTTTCCCGTATCACTGAAAAGAAAAGATTTCAGACTGAAGAAGGCAGGCACTACTCAAACACATTCTGTCTCTTTTCCCTCCTTCACTGTGATGAGCACGTGTGAAGCTTCCGGCAAAGCAAGGCTTCTGCACACATCCTCTCTAAAGCCAATCTCTCTCCAGCAGGCTGTACTATCCAGAGCAGGAAATGTGAAGCTTGTCATGTCTGATGGGCTTGAGAAAGCATGAATAGGCCATTACTCACCAGAACCAGAAAATCCTACCTGTACAAACTAGCAATTAGAGAAAATGTATCCCAACATAAGTAAATTTCATCAATAGAATTACTTCTCATTAAAGACAAGCTATGTGGGTTCACACCAGTACAAAGACTGCTGAATAAATAAAGGTCCATGTTCTAAGATGTCTGTAGTAAAGTCTACTGTTGGCTATAGAGCAAGACAGGAGGACATGAAAACATTTCTCTCCATCCCGAGGGAACTCAAAGCCCTCTTAAATGGCTCTGTTTTACATTTCTGAAATCATTGGTCGTTTTTGCTCAGGTAGGCCCACATCTGATCACATGTGACTGCTGTAGCTACAGCAAACTGCTGTAGCTTCACAGTGGTGAGCTGAAACAGTCCAGTAATACAAAACAGTAAGAATCTATTAGCATGTTAACAGAAATCTTAAAAAATAAGAGGAAGAAATAATTCATGTGTGTATGTGAGTGAATGTGTAAGGGTATGTGAGCGCACGCGCGTGTGCGTGTGTGTGTGTGTGCGTGTGTGTGTGTGTGTGTGTGTGTGTGTGTGTGTGTGTGTGTGTGTGTGTGTGTACGCGCGCATGCATGAGTTTAAACAAAAGGTCAACTTTGGACGTCAATCCTCAGGAATTACTCACCTTAGTCCTTCTGAAACTTAAATGAAAAGATATTTATGATTATTGTGCATGTGATGAGGACACACAAAGGCCCTGGCACATGAAAGTCAGAGGACGACTTAATGAGTCTGAGTTCTCCTTCCTCCTTTATGTGGGCTTGGGGCACAAAAGCCAGGTCATCGGGTTTGAGCCATCTTGCCAACCCCACCTTGCCTTTCAAGACAGGATCTCTCGCTGGGTCCTGGGATGCACCTAATAAGTTAGTATGGCTGGGTAGCAAGCACCTTCCTAGGACTGGAATTACAAGTGCATAAGCCACTATATCAAACTCTTTACATTAGCAAGTACATCCCTAGGACTGGAATTACAAGTGCATAAGCCACTATATCAAACTCTTTACATGGGTACTGGTAAAGTTGAACACAGGTCTTCATGCTTCCAGGGCAAGCACTTTATGGAAAAATAAATTTCTTTTCATCTAAATTTTAAAAAAAATTATGTACATCTCTCTATATATGTATACATGTATGTGTCTATGTATATAACCATGCAGACCAGAAGAGCGTATCAGATTCCCAGGGCCTGGAGTGAAAGGCAGTTGTGAGTTCCCTTGACATGGGTGCTGGGAACATGGGTTCTGAAAGGTCAGCAAGTGCTCTTAACCATTGAGCCATGTCTCCAGGTGATCTGATGCCCTCTTCTAGCCTCTGTGGGCACCCACATGCAAGTACATACTAACATGCAGACAGACACAGAAGTTAAAAAAAAAGCTTCAAAGAATATTGTGTACTAGGACATACTAAGTATACATGGTGATAATTTCATATGAAATTTCTGACCCTCTTTTATGCCCTCCTACCTGTGGCTCCCCCTCCATTTCCATGCTTTTCTTAGGTGACCAGTGAGTTTCATTACAGTTGCTGAGAGAAGCATGGGTGAGGGGTTATTTATAGGAGTATGGGTACTCGCTAGTGGCTGTTACCACAACCTACAGACCTTCAGGGAGAGGTGGAGCCTTGAGCCCCTTCACTTTGCTTGGTGTTTGGGTCTTTGTTTTTAATTTTTTCTTTGTTTTTAATTTTTAAACTTGTATTTGCTGTAGGGTCGCATCTTCTAGATATGTCAAAGCTATACTCAAGAAGTCTTGCCAATCTGGCTGCCTAACCTTAACCCAAACAAGAACACCAACAGACATGCTAATGTGGAAGGGGAGAACTCCTAAATATAGGCAATTATGGGATACTGGGAGGGAAAAACAGTATTCCAAGGAAAGAACACACCAGTTATTCATCCAATACCAAACATACGTATACAAGTAACATACAGACTAAGCAGGTTATATTTATAAATTCAGGAACAATGGAGCAGGCCCGCATGTGTGACAAAGCACACTTAGGGAAGTCAGGTGACAGTTTCAGGAGCTGGCTCTCTACCTCCACAATGTAGGTCCTGGAAATCAAGCTCATGTTGTGGGTTTACCAGCTAGAGCCTTAACACACTGAGACATTTATCTACTGCAGAGTCTGCTTGTCTTTAATTTTATTATTTCATTTTATGTGTACAGGTGTTTTGCCTGTATAGATGTCTGTGGACCTCACTGTACCTGCTGCTGACAGAGGCCAGAAGGCGGCACTGGACTCCCTGGACGTGGAGTTACAGACAGCTGTGAGTTACCATGTGGCTGCAGGGAACTGAACCCAGGTCCTCTGGAAGACCAAATAGTGCTCTTAACTTCTGAGCCATCTTTCCACAGCTCCTCCCCTCCCAGGATTTGTTTTCTTGAGAAAGGTTTCCCTATATAGCCCAGCCTAGCCTTGAACTGGTGGCAATCCTCCTATCTCCATCTTCTGAGGGCTGGGATTACAGGCACAAGCCACTCTGTCCAAGCATTATTGTGAGACTACATATACTTCACCCAGTATGTTCTTGCCTTACCTGTCCACTGTATTGGCTACAGTTTCCAATTGTTTGAGAAGAAAGGGATACAGTTCTGGAAAGCGAGAGAAAAACTCTCTTCCTGTCATTCTGTGGAGGAAGAAATAAAAAAGAAACAATTTCCTTTGATGTCCTCTGATTCGATAAGAAAGCCCCCACCTTCCCCCTGTGAAGGAAAAAGTAATGTCATGTTTGGCTATTCAATGGAGACCTACAGCATCTTACATTTAATAGTCAACACAAGCAATGCATAGTTGGAAGTGCTTCTGATGCACGGACCTATCTCCTAATTAAGAGGACGTATACTTACAAATATTTGATATTCATTCAGGGAAGAGGTACATAATGTGAACACACCAAGACTGTACAACTGATTTGAACCGACTACCGTCAACACCTGACAGACTTACTCGGCTTCAGTGACAAGGAGAGGCCTAAAACAAGGTCTCCTAACCTTGGTACCACATGCACCATTTTGGACCAGGCAATTTTTCTTCAGAGGTGGGGGTGTCCTTTGTGCTGCAGGATGGTTATCAGTTTCTGAGGTCTCTACCCACTGGATTTCAGTAGCACAACATCCTTCTCTCTAATTTTGACAATGGCAGTGTCTCCAGATACAGTGCATCTGATAGGACATAATAATGACAAATGACTGAGAGCCAACAGGAAGCAGGGCTCGGTGAGTGAGCTTCTATGGGGGCTGCTCTAGCTGATGCCTATAAGGGTTATCTTTCCCAAACTTACAGAAACTACTCGAACTCAGAAAGGGTGCTAACAACAGTTCCTCTGACTGTACACACAGTAGGCCAAAAAGCCCAAACTTAGTAAATCATTGAGGAAAAGGGCCTATCTGTTAAAGAAATTGGAGAAAAGGCTTAACTATAAAGAAATACTCATAACCTGTTCACTGTTTCAACTCTAGAATATGCTCCTATTAATGAAGATTCATGCCAAAGTTGGTTAAACTGAAGCATTTTGCAAACTGCTCTGATCTTGTGTTGCAAGTCGGCTCACACATATACCACGAGAACTGACTCCCATCAAGACTCATGATTTTCCATACAGCTCCTTCCACAGCCAGCTCCTGCCTGCCCAGGCAACCACGGATTTGAATTTCTATGCCACAGTTTAGTTTCATCTATTTTAAACTTTCACAAATGTAGCAGTACATTTTATAATTTTGTGGTCTGGCTTTTCTCACTTGGCATAAAGTTTCTGAGATTTGTCCACGATACTGGCTGCAGCAGCAGTGTGACCCCTTTTCTGCTAACTAGATTTCCATTATGTAAATTTGGAGTTTGTAATTCATTCTTTCAGCAGACATGGGTACCTTTTGTTTGTGGGAGTTATTCTGAATACAATACTGTCCTGACATTCTCAAACAAGGTTTTTCTTGATTTTTTCCATTTCTCTGGGTGAACATCTGAGAATAAGTGTGAGATATGCTTAGCATTTAGGAAATGTTTCCCAAACAGCTCCAAGACTTTATACTCCAACCACAGGAAGTAAAGCTTTGGTGTCCCCACCACTTCCAGTACTTGCAGATGGCTTTTATCTTGTTTTTCACTTTAGTCAAACTCTGATATCTGTGATTTTGATTTCCATATCCTGGATGACTGATGACGTTGAACAATCTTTCTATGCTTTAGCCATCGTGTGGCCTTCTATTCAAATATGTTTACCCATTTTGAAAACACTTTTTCCTTTGTCACACACAACATGAACACTTTTCTATTGAGTCAGCTTATTTTCTTAATAATGTCTTTAGATGAGAAAAATTTTAAATATTTGATGAAGTCCATTAATTTCTCAGTTTTCCTTTCTAAGAAATCTCTGCCTCCTTCAGAGTAACATGGTTGTCTGAAGGCTTTACAGTTTGGCCTTTCACACCAAAGTCTATGATCTGGATCCACCTCAAACACACTTCTGCTCAGGGCCTGCTCTCCTTTCTTTTTTTCTCCCTCCCTTCCTTTCTTTCTTCATTTCCTTCTACCATGTGGGTCTCAGGCCTTTAGGTCCCACAGAGCCATCTTTCCTGCCCCGTCACATTTTTAATAAGAAGATGCTCCTTATAGAAAGAGGGAGACACATTTGCACAGAGCCAAACATTTAATATTACAAAGATTAAACTCCCAATCTGTACAAAGGCACTATAATTCTAATAAAAACCCTGTGTCCCTGTCTGTCTGTCCTCCCTGCCCCGTGTGTAAGTGATGAGACAGATTCTAAAGTACATATGACACACCACAGGCTACGAGTAAAGTACAAGGTTGGGAACTCATCCATTCAGGTTACAAGATATCAGAACCGCTTAGCTACACAGGAAATTCAGGGCCAGCTTGGGCTACATATTACATTTCCACAAACAAGAATGAATTCCAAAACATCAAATAAGTAAATAAACAAATCAATAATGGTACAGAAATTTACTGAAACCCGAATCTTACCCTCCTGATATATGCAAAATTAAATTCTACTGTATCTAAGGGCTAAAAACAGCCATAAAGAAAAATATGAAACAATAGAGATTTTTTTTTTTTACAGTCTTGACTTTTGGACAATTTTCCCATGAAGTCTCCTGCTGTCAACCCTGACAAATTAGGACTAAATTCATGTATTTGTCTAATAAATCATTTAATTGATTTAAATTGCATCAATGAAATGGATGCAAACTTCAGTATTATTAGTATTAGCTGCAGCCACTAGCATCTGAGACCTAATCAGCATCATATGTCTGGTAAACCCAAGGCTCTGTGGTTCCTTCACTGCCTTTCCATGTGGCCTTGGGTATTAATCCAGAAATAAGAGTTAGAGCAGGGGGTGTGGCTCAGCTGTACCATCCTTACCTAGTATGCTTGAAGCTGGGTTTGATACCCAGCACCACATACAACTTCAGGTTTTGGTACATGCCTGTAATCCCAGCACTCAGGAAGTGGATGTAGAAAGATAAGAACTTCAAGGCAATGCTTGGCTACATGGGGAGTTCAAGGCCAGCTTAGAATTCATGATATCCCATCTTAAAAACACCACCACCACTAAAAGAAAGCAGCATGGGACGGAAGTTAAGACCCTGTCTCAAAAAACAATGATGATGAAGGAGGGTGAGAACACACACACACACACACACACACACACACACACACACACACACACCAACAAATAAATATAATTCATCACCTATAACATATTCTAACTAAAGAAAAATTAATCTAAGCCAGGCAGTGGTGGCACACGCTTTTAACCCCAGCACTAGGATGGCCAGGCTTGGATCTCTGTGAGTTCAAGGCCAGCCTGGTCTACAAAGCAAGTTCCAGACAGCCAAAGCTACCTAGAAAAAACCGTCTCCAAAAAAAAAAAAAAAAAAAAAGTAAAAGTTAATCTAAATGTAACCAAGTTTGTATTTCTAATGCCATTTTACTAAAAATATGGAGGCCCAATAGAACAAGCTAAACAATACTGCAAGAACACTCAGAATTTTAGATACTGCATAGGAAGCCAGCTTCTAGTAATTAATCAATTTCAGCAGAAGAATATAAAGTGTTGCAAACTAAAGAGAATGTCAAGACTAAAACATTTAAGGAAATGAGCAAAAGTAGACTAATTGTAATGTGTAGAAGCTGCCTGGTTCCCGGATCTAATAAATCAAATACAGAAAAACTTGTAAAACATTAAGGGAAGTTTGCATAAATGAGAAATTAACTTTGTTAGATGTGGTAATAACACAGTGGTATTCCTTCTTAAATTCCTTTAGCCATGGATTTACAGGAAAAATGACATGTTATTTACAAGCTCTAGGAAAGTAAGAAATGAAGGAACTAAGATTGGCAAAATGCTGACAACAACTAAAGCTAAGTAATGGATGTAACGGGTGACAATTCTCATTAAATACATTGAAAATTTTAATAATAAAATGTTTTAAATTCAAGACAAGAATACAAGTTACAAATGGGAGAAAACTAATGACTATATCTAAGGACTGCCCAATTGATAACCAGAATATATGAACAACTGCAGGGAACCAATAAATAAAAGGAAACACACCATCACAAAATGGACAGACCTATTAAACAATCACAGGAGGAAATGTCAGTACATCTGTCCATACGCATCTCTCCACTTGACTAATACACAAAAAGCAGCACCTTCGTCCTGCAGGGGAACTAGTTAGTAATTGCCAAGGCAGTCAGCCATTCCCTAGTGGTCTGATATCTCATAGGTGAGTTACAGAGACAAGCAGTCTCATTTATACAGACCATGTGATTCTGATCTGAACGCTGTCCTCATAGATAACTGGGCTCTGTTGTCCATAATGTTGCCAGATAAAAGGGCTGCTGAACTACTTACTACTCTATGATTAAAGGCATTATTTTAATTGAATTGAAGCTAATTGTTCCAAACAGCAAATTACCTCATTCAGTTATCTTAGAAAATATTTACTAGCCAGTCTATCCTGGAGGTATATGATACATTACCTTAAAGTTAAACATTTTGTGAATATTTTAACTAATTGTTTTGTTCCTCAGAGTTGAGTAGTTTGTTTTATTATATCTTTTTAAAAACACACAGCTGTTTCTCAGTATGGGAGGAGGGGCTGGCTCCTGCAGATAGGAGAGTTTATGGCTACTCACACAGTGGTGTAGCATTCTTTTAAGTCTGTAACAATACTGTCATAACCACACAATAGCATCCTTTAAGTCTATAACACTTGTCATACCCACACAATACAAACGCTTCACACATACTGATCGACTGCACTACCTAGGGAATAATGTAACAATGGAAGGCTGATCAGTTCAGAACATACATGTTTCTTCTTCCATGGTTGGTTGAGTTCATGGATGAAGATCCCAAATAGAGATGGTTCACTGTTTTGCTACTGCTGCTGTCATTCTAGATGCTACAGGCCCATAAGTATCAGTGTGACTATCAGGTGCTATAAAATCAAAAGTTATTTTCTAGGCGGGTGTTGGTGGTGCACACCTTTAATCCCAGCACTCGAGAGGCAGAGGCAGGAGGATCTCTGTGAGTTCGAGGCCAGCCTGGTCTCCAGAGCCAGTGCCAGGATAGGCTCCAAAGTTACACAGAGAAAC